AGCTGCCGCTGCTTCTTTTTCAGGCTCCCTGCAGTGGCTATAAGTGGGCGCTTGAAGCACTCCTGCTCGAGAGGTTCCTCAGGCACGATAAAATCCTCGTTGCCGAGGCTCTCCTCATCCTCAGAGGGTGGAAGATAATTACTGTCCTCCGAGTCTTCGTTTATGGCCTGTTCGTCAGGGCTAACTTGCCCGTCTTCCCGTTCGTCATGTTCTGAAGTTGGCTTAACGGGATCTTCATTGTCTTCGACATTGTTTGGGGTATTGTTTTCTTCTGTGCCGGTATTGCGTCTTTTCCACGGTGTGACTTGGAGCGGCGCTGCTGACGTCGGCGCTTTGGTTGTATCTCAGGAGGTTTATCCTCGACTGGGTCTTCCTTGTCGACGCTGCTATTCTCTTTGGGTGTTTCCAGCATGTACACATCATACGAGGAGGTGGCCGTCTAGCGTCCGGTAAGCAGCGGGTTTTGGGCCTCCTCTTCTCCGACATCGTTGTCCATACCATCGATGTCGTCGGAGACGTAATCGAGCATGTCGGTTAAGTCCTCAACAGTGACTATGAAGTGGGAGGTGGGAAGCAAAATTCCCCATCATCAACCCCTAGTTCGAGCTCGATATAAATCGGCTGTGAGTCCCCTGCTAAGGAGAGGGATTTTAATGAGTTCAGCACATCGCTTAAAGGTGAGTGTCGGAAGATGTCCGTGGCGCTAAATTTGACGTCCGATGCCTGATCGGGCTCGACGAACACGGCCGCACGGAGTTTGGAACCTGTGGCCGGAGACGAATTCGAGGTTCCGATGACGCAGGTCATGTTCGAAGTTGGGTCTGTGTGCGGCTCCAGCGCTGCTGAGTATGCGGCTCCCGTGGCGGGGTTGAGCTTCCCGTCCTCGGGTGGCGCAATCTGCTCCGGATCTGGGGCCGAAGCACTCACATGTGCTATCTCCTGGGTATGGTCCGATGACAGATTTAGTTCATGCTCATCGCGATGGCAGGGAGCGGCTGCCATGGGCTCGAACCTGTCGAAGATCAAGTCTCCACGAGTATCAGCAACGTAGTTCAAGCTTCCAAACCTGACCTAATGGCCAGGGGCGTAGCTATCGATCTGCTCTAGATGGCCAAGCGAGTTGGCCCGCACTGCGATGCTACCGAATACGAAGATCTGTCCGGGGAGAAAAACTTCCCCCTAGATAGCATTATTGTAGATGATCGATGGAGCCATCGAACCTCTTGGAGATGATGCAGCGGAACTCTCAATGAAAGCACCAATGTCGGTGTCAAAACCGGCGGATCTCGGATAGGGGGTCCCGAACTGTGCGTCTGAGGTTGATGGTAACAGGAGACAAGGGACACAAAGTTTTACCCAGGTTCGGGCCCTCTTGATGGAGGTAATACCCTACATCCTGCTTGATTAATATTGATGAGTATGGGGGTTACAAGAGTGGATCTACCATGAGATCGTAATGGCTAAAACCCTAGAAGTCTAGCCTATATGATTATGATTATGATCACCTCTATGGACTAAACCCTTCGGTTTATATAGACATCGGAGGGGACTAGGCTTGTACAAAGTCGGTTACAAAGAAAGGAATCTTCATATCTGAATGCCAAGCTTGCCATCCACGCCAAGGAGAGTCCTATCCGGACACGGGTGAGAGTCTTCGGTCTTGTATCTTCACAGCCCATCAGTCCGGCCCATGTCCAACAGGCCGGACGCCCAAGGACCCCTTAGTCCAGGACTCCCTCACTGAGAAATTTGTATATTGATCTACTGCAAATGGAATGGGTATTTTATCGCTCTCTGGTAAAAAATGAAAATTAATTTTGTGAGCGTAAAAGTTTCTGTTTTTCAGCAAGATCAAACAATTATCACCCAAGAAGATCCTAAAGGCTTTACTTGGCACAAACACTAATTAAAACATAAAAAACACAATCATAACACTAGCATAATTGTGCTAACACTCAAAAACAGGAAACAAAAAGCAAAAATAAATTTTATTCATTGGGTTGGCTCCCCACAAGCGCTATAGTTTTACGCCCTTAGCTAGGCATAAAGCAAGGATCTAAGTTTTGTCTTCCGAAGTTTTGGCAATTTTTGTAAGGGTTTTCTCAAACCCGGGAGGCTCTTTATGCTTCCCTAAATTCTCCAGAAAAGAAACCATCTTAAGATCCAAAATATCCAATCGCTTATTACAAAAAGTAATCAAGGCATTCATGCGATTGATACTACCATTGAGGTGTTTGAAAGGTTCATTGTATTTTTGTATTTCAACCATATGCTTATGCAAATCGCCAAGTTTGTCCAACATTTGAGCTCCCTCGGGCGTAAAAGGAAACCTCGGAGGAGGACCTGCTCAGCGGATGGGTGTGGTGTTGGGATTAGAAGGGGTGTGCGGAGAGGAGGAAGATGGATGGCGTGCGACACGTACATTAACGGAGAGAGGAGGGAGGGATTCGGAGTGGGGGGAGAAACGATGATGGACAAATATGGATGGGACGAGGCGGAGGGGGAATTAGAGGATGGTTTCGCGTGAGGATGCCCTCCGTCGATTCGATTCGGTCACCACTACTATGGACTGCATATTCTCGTTTCCAAAGAAGAAGGAAAAACTTTATCCTAAAGTTTTTCTGTGGGCACTGAAAAAACTTTATTTCCATTATTAAAAAATGATGCATCTTTTCTTTTTTCTGATTGTTATATAAACTCAATAGCTTTTGTGCAAACTGTTGAAAATTAAACATTCTCTTAGAAAAATATCAAAAAACTAGATAAGTCAATTCCAAAACTCTAGGTTTTGATCTTGCAAAAAAATAAACTCTAGGTTTTGGGTTTCAGTGTTAATTTCCGGCAGTCCAACTAGGCAGACCTTACCTGGCAGCACTCAATTATATTAACCACTAAGGAAGCTATGTGGATAAATCTCGTTGCCACCATGGTATCCAATATATTGGTGATAACTTGAAATATCTATTTTTAGAAAAGGAGGTTAAAAACCTGAAACTATTAAAACTTGAAATATCTTGTGTTTATGAAAAACTTGAACTACCTTCTGCTTTAGAAAACTTGAGTCTTCAATATTATCTCTACTACTTATTAAGAATGTAAGGTTACCATTTCACTTTTCTTCCCACCACCCCTTCGTCCAACCTTCCATATATACTTACCTTCTGAACCAATTCAATTGTAATTTACTTACCAAACTTCTAATCAAAATATAAGGTAATTCACGGGCAGAATTTGATGGACATTTATTTACGCAATCGCATTTATTATTGACAAGTAAATCACAATTTAACATACTAGAATATTTATATCCCGTTGCAATGCACATGCATTGTTCTAATCTCCATAAAAAGATTCATGCGGTTAGCATTGATTACAAAGTTACTCGTGTGATATTTCGCAACATGGCATGATCATTTGTGACCCATGTAAGAAGAGAAGATAATAGTGCTACGGTTTAAGTTTCAGATCCTAAGTATAACAATAGTTTTCTCATTTTCATACAGGTTGCAAATTGTCGTATGATTCTATGAAATTTTACATGGGTAAGTTTCAAACTCGATATCTACTACATGGGTGATTTTCCTAGATTTTTCCCGAAACTTAGAAATGCATTGTTTGCTAAGTTTTAGAGAGTGGATAAATCAAACCCCATGATAATCTACTATTATGTTTGTGGTTGTGCTTGAGTAAGAGCATCTCCAACAGCCACCCAACGCGCGCCGCGCTAAAAACCAGTTTACAGCGCACCGATCGCCTGGTTTGGCGCGGTGGGCAGTGCTGGCTCCAGCAGCAGTGGTAAAATGCAGCACGCGCGTGTAGCTCCAGCAACACGCAAAAATGCAGCGCGCGCGAGCAGCCGGCGCATGCCATATGTTGCATTTTTTACACAAAATGAATTTCAAACATCACAAAACAAAGACATGGCACAATTTAAATCACACAAACAAGTTGATGGCTAAAAGTTCATGCCCACAAGTTCAAATTCATGCCCACAACATCATCCAACCAAGTTTAAAATGCAAACCAAGTTCATGACACAAATGTAAGGCACATCAACAATCAAGCCTCATCCTCGTGTTCATCCTCATCTTCCTCCGATTCATCTGACTCGTCTGAAGACGATTCTTCCTCCTCCTCTTCATTGTCGCGCGCCGCATCCTCATCATGTGAAGCTCGGAAGGTGTTGGCAATATCTTCAATGGCATTTTCATGTGAAGGTGTGTGAGGCACACCGGAAGACATTCCGCCCATGGCGCTTGGAGGTGCACCCATGCCTCCGATGAGAGATGCAAAACTCATGCCTCCCATGCCGGCCATGTCGCCCGGAGGTGCTCCAAAGCCACCCATGCCTACCATGGTCTCCATGGTAGCTCCAAAGCCACCCATGGCGCCCATGGTAGCTCCGAAGCCACCCATGACGCCAAGGCCACCGCCACCCATGGCACGAATCATGGCTCTTTTTTGGATCAAGACTTCTTCACGGGCAAGATTTACATACTCCTTTTGCGCCTCATTGAGGATAGATGTGTCCAAGAAGAACAAGTGCTTCTCCCAATCCAATAATCTAGACCGCTCCTCCATGCCCACCTTCATCTCCTCCAATGCCACCTTCCTCTCCTCCAATGCCACCTTCCTCTCCTCGGCGGCCACCCTCCTCTCCTCGGCCACCAACCTCCTCTCCTCGGCTATGGCATCTTGGTTCCTTGCCATCTTCCTCACCTTGTTGGCTTCTTTTCTTGCCTTAACAATAGCTTCCGTAGCATTTTTTGAGCTGATCATCTCCTTTCCTCTTCTTCTTTTCTTTTGCATCTTTCTTGGCCCCATTCGGTCGTTTTGGCTTCGAGTATGAAACCGAGTTTGGTGTGGGGCTTCTCTTGCCGTCATCACTTGATGCCTCCTCCTCATCATCATCCAAATCAATTGTTCGCTTGCCTTTGTTCCTCAAATCCAAATCATCCATATCATCACACTTCTTCCATTTCTCATCATCCTTCAATGCTTCATAGCAATGAGGCAAGGTAAATGGCCTTCCTTTCTTGATCTTCCCCTTCTTGGTCCTCTTCTCCTATCCTTTGAACAAGTTTTGTGCAATATTGTACTACATGAAAAAACAAGTTAGCACTACAAACACCAACAACAAGCATGATGAGCATGGATGAAATGGCACTTACCCTATCTTCATCATTAGTGCCACTTGGGTTCAGCTTGTCAACCGCCTTTTGTGCGGCCGCCCACTTTTGACAATCCTTGTTGATTGTCGACCACCAGGAGTTAAGAGATCGATCGGAGCGGTCAATTCCACTCTCGTTGCGTAGATCAAAGTGTTCCTTCATCCATTCCAATAAGCATCTATACTTTGATCACCTCCAACGGATGGATCCCTCGACACTTCCAACCAAGTTTTGCATAGCAAGACGTCTTCTTTGTTGGTGTAGTTGCCTCCTCTTCCTTCTGGTGCATCCACATTGCCCTCACCATCCTTGTCCACCTCGAACTCATGGTCCCCGAAATGAATGTCATTGGTTTTAGACCAATGCGAATTGTTGGAGCCAACACCCATAGTTGACATGTATGCCTCATCGCTGACAGTACAAAGTATATAGAACAGTGCAAATAAGCTATCTATATGTATGCATTCAAAAAAATAACAACAACAAAATAGTTCGCGAAATTTTATACATTTGGGGAATTTCCTCGAACACATTGTGCGCGTCGGCCGCCGGCTGCTACCTCTTAAGCACTGCATTGGATTTCCCCGAAGAGGAGAGGATGACGCAGCAAAGTAGCATAAGTATTTCCCTCAATTTTTGAGAACCAAGGTATCAATCCAGTAGGAGGCTACGCGTGAGTCCCTTGTACCTACACAAAAACAATAGCTCAACGCAACCAACGCGCTTAGGGGTTGTCAATGTTGGGGAACGTAGTAATTTCAAAAGATTTCCTACGCACATGCAAGATCATGGTGATGCATAGCAACGAGAGGGGAGAGTGTGATCTACGTACCCTTGTAGACCGACAGCGGAAGCGTTAGCACAACGCGGTTGATGTAGTCGTACGTCTTCACGGCCCGACCGATCAAGCACCGAAACTACGGTACCTCCGAGTTTTAGCACACGTTCAGCTCGATGACAATCCCCGGACTCCGATCCAGCAAAGTGTCGGGGAAGACTTCCGTCAGCACGACGGCGTGGTGACGATCTTGATGTACTACCGTCGCAGGGCTTCGCCTAAGCACCGCTACAATATTATCGAGGATTATCGTGGAAGGGGGCACCGCACACGGCTAAGAATATGATCACATGGATCAACTTGTGTGTCTAGGGGTGCCCCCTGCCCCCGTATATAAAGGATCAAGGGGAGGAGGCCGGACGGCCCCTATGGTGCGCCAAGGAGGAGTCCTCCTCCTAGTAGGAGTAGGACTCCTACTAGGAGGGGGAAAGAAGTGGGGAGGGAGAAGGAAAGGGGGGCGCCCCCCCCCTCTCCTAGTCCAATT